TAACGGCATAATTACAAGCGGAGAACGGAGTAATTTAACGTCATAGCAGGCATAACAACAGCCGGTGTACACAAAATACACAAACACACACACTCGCGAGTTTCCCCCAGACCAGTAATCAAAACGAAAATATCTTCCCTGCGTAGTATTTTGATAATTTGCTCCGCTAATAATCAATCAGATCGATCCAGAGAAGAGGACACTTTGAAGGCCTTTTTCTCAAAATGATGACTCTAGTCATTATAGGCTAATGTGACATATTTTGCTTAATGTTTGGAGTACAAAAACTATCCTGATATCATTAGAAAGCTCGGAATCTCCTCTTTCCAACGGGGTATACAACTCAAAATGTGTCTTCGGGTCAATGCGACTGATTTCGATAGAGCAGATCACTTTGCATTAGGTAAAATAAAGCACGCAGACATAACAGGAAGAATATGTACATTTTAACCCAATCAAATAGGACATTGTCACACCATTCAAATGTATCCATGTAAATTACAACCAATAAAAAAGCTTAGATTTGTTTATTTGTTACATTGTTTACTTTATTTGTTAAGGGGTGGCCACAATCGTGGACATGCTGGCGGCAGGGACGAGGCACGCAATCGCTCTTCAGTGAAGTGGACAAGCTTCTATGGCTGTTTGACTGTGCCGATGTCCAATGCAACAGCTGAGCGGAGCTTCTCCAGCCTCCGTCGGTTGAAGACGTTCCTTCGTTCAACTAGTTCGAGCGCCGCTTAAATCCCCTTCTCTTCCTCCACATCCACAAAGATTTGACTGACGGCCTGGACCTCAAAAAAGTGCTTCGGAGTTTCTGCTTTGCCAGTGAGCGAAGGGAAGTTTACTTTGGCAACATCTAGAAAGTAGATTTAGCCACGTGGGGATTTTTGTTTTGCTTTACCCTATGTATTGTGGGACATTTGTTTGAAGGTTGCTCCACCCTCATCTGTTATTGGACATTTTAGTCATGTGATTTTAATTACACGACATCACAGCTTGTGTTACTTATAACAAGCTTGTTATAGGCCTACGTTCTTTTCACAAGAATTGTTGTTTGGTTCGGTTAAATAAATAATTTATGTCCATTTCTTGAATTTCTTGAAATAAGTGTCATGAATTGCATTACCTGTAGCCAGAGGTAGGCTACCTGACCGGTCTCAACGCTGTGTGTGTCCGTCAGGAAACACGCTGTTTACAAGTAGCCTAGTTCCAGGCTTCCAGCAAACATCCACTGATAAATTGCGAAGTTAACAACCTCATGATAACCTCATATGTTTTAACTTAGGATCACCTGTGTTTAGTCTAGAAAAAGGTAAATGTGTGCATTTTATTATAAAGTTGTGTATATTTACAGACTGTTGCAAAACCTAAGAAGCTTGGGTGCATTCACACCAGATGCACACCTAATAGTCCGTTTTCTGGTGCGCACCAGACGACAGTTCGTTACATTGTTTGATTTTTCAGAAGGTTCGGTTTGCGTTCACACGGGCAAAACTCAAACGGACTATAAACTTTAAACACAAGTCATGTGCACGGAAATGCAGTTCAACCATTGGTCAGACATTAAGTGGGTAAAAACGCAAATCCCGGCAATTTCTACCGGAGCCTCCGCCATGGAGCATCGGCACTTTCGGCAGGTTATTCTCATGCTGCTGTTACTCTGGAGATCAACAGACACTAGCGGCCCGCGCATATGATTATATAATCAGACAACGTCCGTTAAAAAACATTATAACACATACAATGAGAGACGTTCTGCAGTAAGGAGGGCGTTTCACCGACGACAAGTGTTCTTACTTTTATGTAGCTGACGGATAATTTGTACTTTACACAACACTGTTCAACACTTCATTCTGCTTCACTCTTTAACTAAACAACCGCGGATGTCTTGAAAGACTCTTTCGCTAAAGATTTTTGAAGATATCCGCGTTCTTGTGACACGTAAATACTACGCTTCCTATGTTTTGGTGAGGACTGCGTTCACACCAGCAATGAACCGCTCCAGAGTTCGCAAGCAAGCGTTCTGAGACCACCTATTTTAGCGGACCAGAGTCCAGTTGTTTAGTTCACTTCAGAGGTCTCGGGTTGCGTTCACACCGACCCAAATTAACCGCACCAAGCGGCTAAACGCACCAGGGTTCGATTCAACCGGACTATACAAGGCAGGTGTGAACGCACCCTTATAAACATCAGGTTTAAAACTAAAAGAGCTTTACAAAAAAGTAGGCTAACACAATTAAAGATGTTTGGAGTTTTATTTGAGTTATTAATTTACATTTTTTGTCAAAGAGATGCTGATTTGAAACCGTTGTTACATACAGTTACGGCATTTCCTGTTTCTGCCGGAGAGAGGGGAGGCCGTCCCAAAGCTTGCTGCTGTGTTTACTCCCTCCATCTGACAGGAGGGAGCCTGTGTCACTCCACGGAGTTCACTCCGTCACGGAGGGGGAGTGTGTAGGGGTAGGGTGTAGGGCGTGGTTTGGGATTCGGCCATACACACGCACTTTTTTGGCCCCCCCACTTCTAAAATGAATCCGGCGCGCCTGCTGTGAGGTCTGTGCAGAAAGCAGAGCAGTAAATATATATCACTCAGTATAACAGGCCTAACTCTCTTTATTTGCTTTAGTTTAGTAGATATCTACAAACAAAGAGTCGATATTTTTCTAAGACCATTTAGTGCTTCACATAATAAAATACACAACGGCTGTAGCCTGATTATGCTTTAGGAGCTGTAGGTGTGTGTGGTACAGTGTGTAGGTGTGTGTGTGGTACAGTGTGTAGGTGTGTGTTGTAGCCTACAGTGCGTAGATGCGGCGGACAGACGGGTCTCAGTTGGTTTGGTGTCCTCTGCTTACTTACTTGTAAATACAACTTTTGGCCCGTAATTTCAATTCCCCATTTCAGCGACCAGAGAGAGAGAGAGAGAGGGGGGGGGGGTATATATCCAGTCTCTGATTGTGTTACGTTATTATGAGAGTGCTCTCATACTTTAAATTGTAGCCTATATATTTATATAAATATATTTGTGTGTGTGTGTCCGCATCTGTAGCCTGTTATTGTCTCATTATACCGCACTGTCAATGAATTCAAAGTAAATATGTGGGGGAACAATGTTCAGCTGATCTAACAGAGATTATAAAATACAGCGCTATGACAAAACACTCGACAGCTGATGCAGCTGTTGCCACGTAATAATGAACGGACGTCGCTTTAATATGACCGCTCAGAGGAGAAGAGTTCTCATTTCTTTAAACGTCTGCTGCTTCCCCTCCTCTCTCCTCGGTTCCCCTCCTCGGTCCTCCACTCGCATCTCCTATGGGCGGGACTAAGTATCGAGGATAGGAGTCGAGGAGGGGAGTCGAGGAGGGGAAATTTAAGAATTGAGAAGCCTCTTTGGTCTCTACCTGACCGGTCTCAACGCTGTGTGTGTCCGTCAGGAAACAAGCTGTTAACAAGTAGTTCCAGCAAACATCCACTGATAAACTGCGATGTTAATGATAGCCTCATATGTTTTAACTTAGGATCATACCTGTGTTTAGTCTAGAAAAAGGTAAATGTGTGCATTTTATTATAAAGTTGTGTATATTTACAGACTGTTGCAAAAACTAAGAAGCTTATAAACATCAGGTTTAAAACTAAAATAGCTTTACAAAAAACACAACACAAACACAATGAAAGATGTTTGGAGTTTTATTTATCTAACAGAGGGAGAACATTATTACACCACTGGTGTTTTTTTCAAAATCAAAGACAAAATCAAAAAACAGTTACCATTTAAAATCCAAATTCAAGTTGAATCTATTTAAATTGTTGTCAAGAAATAACAACAAACAGAGGGATCAGCTGTTAAGTTTTATACACAAAGTTTTATTTACCAGCCTGAATGCATTTACGTTAAATATTTAGACAAACAAAATGTTCTGCCACTAAAAAATATTGTCTAGGCGGCAATTTTGAAATCAGTAATGTTAAAGCTGTCTAACAAACATGAACAATTCTTGGGTGAAAGATTTCCAGATTTGCGGACTATGTTTAAATACGACAATACTAAAAACATATGATGACAGGAAGTTACAAAACATTGATACAAACCATGGAAACAAACTGGAAGCTCATCATCATTTTGGTAATCTCACTTTTAAGGTAACATTATCAAAGGTAATTTAAGTGTAGAAATGTGATTGTTAATAATTACTAAATATTGGGTTAAAGTTCTAAGACCACAAAGTAAATATTTGACTTGATTCAGGTTAAAGCTTACTTCTTGCCTTTGACTGACGTTACGAAATGTCCTCTCCAAATCTTTTAAGATGATGAGAGACAATTTAAAAATCTAAAGGTTTGTGAGTGTCATAACATTCCTACAAGCAGTACATCCTGTAAGCGTTTAGGAAAGTTCACTGAAATAAAGTGCTTTCATGCAGTGAATTGTATGCAATGTTTTAAACCAATAATCTCTATAAACAGATATCTGCATATTAATTCAGAATCTGTCGCCAATGAGACTTCGGTACCAGAAGCCCTCTGGTTTCTGTTTGCAGTCCAAGAAGTGTTGACCACTCATGTTTGAGCGAGCGTTGGTTGCATGCGGGTAAACAGTCCGTGTGGAGAGTGTGGAGAGAGGCAGAACGAATTGGATGACATTTTGCAACCCATCAGCTATTTTTCTGAGGACAATTTAGACTTTGATTCGCTTTTTTATTTCATTTATCAGCATTCAAACGTAGATATCTGTTCATATAGATTAATTGAAATGTCGTCTGGACCTAAAACACCTACTCTCAAGGTCCTAATCTGACTGTCAATGATGACTGGCGAACTATGGAAGAAGTCAGGATCCGGAATTCCTGTCGTCAGACCGATAGCCTATAGATTCTGAGATTATCAAACCAAGGCCCAGAAGTTATTCACCTGTCATGGTGTTAACTTCAACTGGCTTGCTTTGGTATAACGTTTTGCTTTGATAGCTGGAGCTAAATTAGTCTGCAGCTGGCTTTTCAGCAGCTTGGGTTTCCCATCCGACAGAAGCAGACAGTTCTGAAGAGCCGACACTGGCAGAAAGCACAGAAATCACAGCACACATTGTTTGAAGATTTACAGCTTCCCCCCAGGGGAACGCAGTCAGCAGGAGGACGAGGGCGCTTCTTCTTTCTCTGAGAGAGAAGGAGAGAGTATCAACAATACATCGCCATACTGTTAGAATAAGATACAAAAAAAGTACTGCAGTGAGAACAAGAGAAACATTTTGAGTAAAATAAAATATGGAATTATGTATGTGCTTTGGTGACAATGCATAAAAAGGACAGATTGTCAGAGATTTTTTACCACAGAAGTTGATTCTGTACATTTCAAATGTATAAAGTAAATAGTTATTTAATTATATAAATGTAATAGTGACACAGCTTAGTCTGGTTTGTTTTTTTGGGTAATACCTTTTTTTGTTTCTTTGTTTTCTTGTTCCTCTTCACTGTTTCTGGCAATTCTGAAAAAGGACATACGAAAATAAAGGTGCTTTCATGGAATTTTAGAGGGAAAAAAAATGCATCATCTGCGTGTCCATATATAGTTTATCTTCATATAAGTGAATAATCACAGTTAAACTTGCAAACTTACCTACAATAACAACAGGAGGGGGGGCTATGTCAAGGCTTTGAGACAGAGCGTCAAATAACACAACGCTCTTTGTGGTGAGACTCTCATCAGGGATCATGTGGGCGGAGGCAAGGAAGTGATCTGTTGCAGCGAGGACTAAGCAGCTCAGCAGCAGGAAGGCATGCATCTTTCTCTGGAAGAGAACACACAAAGAAACTTAAATGTATGTTGTTTTGGAAAGAAGGTGAGAATAAATGATCCTCTTACTACAAGGTTTAGTCACTTGAAATAAGCTGTCAGTTGGTCCACACTGAAATATCTCATCAACGTTTCGATATTGGTCTTTAGCCTTCACATGATGTCTTAATAGATACGTTTGTTGTTGCATGACTGCATACCTATTTGTTGTGGTGATGTGCAAACAAAATCTACAAAAACATCTTATTGAACTAATATGTTTAGTGTCCGTTATGTTCCGTGTGAGCCTTTTGTGTGGGATCGATTTCAGCCACTGAAACATGTTCATGGCTCCCAAACGTGTGTGAATGTTAGCTTCCTTGAGCAGGTGCAACATGCATGGCAGCCCTTGCCTCTGTATGAATGAGTGAATGAAGCCATGTTTACGTAAAGTGCTTTGAGAAGTTGTAAAGACTGGATAAATGTCAAGAACCCAACGACCAAGGTGAAGTTTGTATAGGTTTACTTACAAGTCATTACTAAAATGTGTATGTCTTCGCCAGTCTTTTTCTTAAGCTATCAAAAATGTAAAGTAATAACAAAAACAAAATGTGAAGAGTCGGTCTGCCCATTACCAAAAAAGGTGTCAATTACTATCGGATATTTTCTATTAGCCTTAAAATCACGTACTAATATATAATAGTGTTTTTCTTTAGCATTGAGGCCTACCTATTTGAAGCTTTTATTCAAATAGAATTGTATTTGTGTGATAATCTCAGGGTAAAGATAACAACGTCAAACAAAGTTCAATTTAATGACTGATTTTAAATGCCCTTTTCTTAATGTCTTTCATTTTTTGTAAAGCACTTTGAATTGCCTTGTGTTGAAAAGTGCTATATAAATAAACTTGCCTTGCCTTGCCTTGCCTTACAATAAAGTCCTGAATGTCTTGTTTAGGTGTTAATAGTCTTTATTTATTTTTACCTGAATGTAGATCTGCTTACCACCTTAAGCATTATGGCAACAATTTGTTTGTTAGGAATTTTGGAAGCACAAAGGGTTAGTCTGACTTCTGGTAATTTCCGGATCGTTTCAATGTGTAATCCGCAAATACGTTTGATGAATGCCAGCTGGTGTTCTTTTGCAACAATAACAAGTCCCTGATATTTCTTAGCAAATCTAACACGATGGTGTCCAATTCTTTCTGTGTTTAACAATGTGGTGATGTTTACTATAATGTTTTACTTTTGCTAGTCATTTACTTTCTGATGACGTTGCTTTGACAATCTGTTACAGGAAACTGACATCACCAGTGTTCCTGCCAGCAGACTAACCCTGTAGGCCCTGAGCAGCGGCAGCAGGGATTAGTGCCCACTGCCTCAGACATTGTAGAAATGATCACTAATCTTCATCTTTAGTGCAGCTGCTGAGAATTAGCAGCTATAAGTAGAACAATACGTTATGCTTGGTTGAGTAAACACTTTTTGCATAGAACTTAAAAGAGTTATCTAGACGTAAATACCATATGAACTGTTTCAAAATACATGGGATCCCTGGATTTACTTTTTAGTGCCAAAATTACCCTTATTGTCTAGACCAGTGGTTCCCAACCTGGAACCACTGGTTCTAATAATTTTTATTTTTTATACATAATTGTAAAAGGCCTTGTCTCTACATTACAATAACATATAAAAAATAATTGATTGATTCATTTGAATAAAAATGCAAGTTAGTAGCTATTAAAGGCATACAAAGACAGAAATGTATAATTCTTTCTTTAATAGAAATGTTTCTTCTGCCCATAAAGTGTCCAAACCAGGCTTTTCTGGATAAGCGCATTTTTAAAACATAGTCATTGTCCATGCCGGTTTCAGTTGGATTATTTGTCACAGTTGCTCCAATCAGATCGGTCTCCTCCATTTTGTAGATTATTTACGATTTTTGAATCCACATAAACACATCTGCAAAATCCGGCTTACTTTGAGCATGTGTTTTAAACAGTTTAATCCCTTTGTGAATTGTTTCCACTTGCGCCGTCCTTTAATTTCTTCATACAGCGGGAATCCAAATTAATTCATCCTGAGACCAATAACCATCAAAGTCACTCCAATAGTGCTCCTTAATTACGCTTTCATCCTCCTTTTAACAAAATACTTCACATTCACCCAGTTTGTGAGAGTAGTTGTAGCATTTTTGAGACTTTTAAACTTTAATTACCGCTGTTGCACGCGCCCGCCCCCCCCCGCCCCCCCCTAGTGTGTGTGTGTGTGTGGGGGGGGGTGCAACTTCCAACATGAGTCATTTGGGGGGGGCCCTTGGGAAAAAAGGTTGGGAACCCCTGGTCTAGACAGCTTGTACACCTTAGTTACACCAATCATTGATGTTGTGTTAACTGAAATAGGAGTGATACATCTGGGTCAGAACTTCTACAATAATATTATCTTTGCAGACATATTTAACCATTTCGTCTTTAACCTCTTAAGCCCCCCAGTGGACCCCTCCCACAGTTTTTTTACGATACTATATCTCAGGGCTTCTTAACATTTATGAAACTATTAATGTTCCATACCCTTTTAATGGTAAGAAACTCAGCTAACTGACAATGTGAACCATTTTTAGCTAAAAGAAACACAAGAGTAATACCAAGCCTTTGAATTAGCATGGAGCGAACTAATGCTAACGGACTTTTGCACAGCACTCACGGTAGAAATGCCCTTATTACTTATCGTAACTGCACAAACAAGATATCCGATTAAAGCTGAGACTCCACAGATTCCACACATGTAACGTCATGACTGTACGACCCCGAATTCCTGGAGCTACAGTATCAGCCAGAAAAGAGAAAGTAAACAACATCCGGTTTCAAAAATATTACAATAATTATGTCTTACCTTTTTTGATTTGTGATCAAAAGTTGTGTTCAACGGAATAAAAACGCCGCTCAAGGTTAATCCAATGTCTTTGTGTCACATAGAAATGTTTACTGATAATCCATCATCATATTTATGGCAATATACTGGGTATAAAGTTTTGCCGTCCAGGCTTGTACTTTCAGATATGCTTCGTTTGCTTCTCTATTACGTCCGCAATGGTAATGTTTACGTGGATTTGGGAACTGCCGATCGATTCTATTGGATGTAATGATTAAGAAAAAGGTGTAAATCTCCCAAATCGATCAATGGGTTCCAGAGATATGGTCCTGCGTAAAGTATAAAGAATGCCAGCCAGCGTAAGCACGTTACGCAGCAGACTTTACTTATTGTTTACTACGTAAGGAAGCAGGAATTGCAGGACCCAGAGCACACAGAGCACAGAGCGGACAGCAGATAACGGAATTTCAGTTGTATTGCTTATAGATTATCAGAACATTTCAGAGGGGACACAGCCCCATTGGATATTAACCTATGGATTAACTAATCATCGTTTTTATCGTTTTAATGCCATTGAAGACCAGTTTAGACCAGACAAAGAGGAAGGTAAGTCATTGTTAGCCTAGCGCATGTTAGTACCTAGCGCCACTTGTTTTGATGTACGTTTTTGTTGATAACCTCGCGAGTTTGTATCTTTCAGTGTTGAGGTGGGCACCGTTACGGAGCGTCCACACAGCAGCGTGCGTTGACGCTTGGAGGTGGGCGCATCTGAAGCTTGGGGATTTTTTGCGAGCAACAACCAATCACATGAATCTCCCGCCCCTGACATACAAAGCAATAGCAATGTTAAAACGAAGTAAACTGGATATAAAATCCCTAAACAGGCGAAAACCTACCAGTTTCATCCACTGTCTCTGCCACCTCCCTCCATGCCTCGCTCCTCCGGTTTGTATCCCGGTAGATGAACAGAGACTGATCATACAGCACCGGGTGATTCACTACCGCTATAATGAATTTTCCCTCCATTTTTTGGAATATGAGGAAATGACCTGCATAGTCTCTCCCAGCATACACGCGGTTTGATTGGCTAGCGCTTGTACTGGCAGATTTGCATTGGCTGACGCCTCCGTCGAGGTGTCAAAAGTTGAACATTGCTCAACTTTTGAAGCGAGCAACGCCAGCAACGCTCCACGTCGCTTCCCAAAATGCAGTTCGGCTAAAAGTGACGTCACCCCATTCAAAGTGAATGGTGTTATGGAAATCTGAGACCCAATACTGTGGAGAGTACAAGTCAGAGTGATCAAAACGAATAATGGTGAATCAGACAGAGTTGTCTTTCTGGTTATTTATTTGAAGCTTCAAATACATAAGATACAATACAAATATAGACACAGGTCTCACAGAGTATAGAATAGTCTGCGCGAGTGTGCACGGATATAATAGGAAAGCAAAGCTTATATACAGCAAAGAGTGGGAAGTGCAGAAATCTGTCTTCACACGGTCATATTGTTATTAGACACCTGGCCTTGAGCTGTAGAAGTTCTCGTGTGACTTTGTGTGAGTCTCAACCCAGTAGCCAAAACAGCTCTGTGGCCTTGAAGCTCTTGGGAATAAACCCCCAGTAATAATAATAATAATAATAGATTTAATTTGTTAGCGCTTTTACAGGTGCTCAAAGACGCTTTACAGATATAGTGAAGGGAAAAGAAAAGGAAGGAACAACAAATAAATATATAGTTCAAGTTAAAGTCAAATAATACAAAAACAATCACACATTAAAAGCCAGATTGAAGAGGTGAGTTTTTGTGAGTTTTTTGAAGATGGTGAGGTCAGTGCAGGCTCTGATGGGTTGGGGGAGTGAGTTCCAGAGGGAGGGGGCAGCGACGGAGAAGGCTCTGTCCCCCCAGGTCCGGTGATTGGTGCTGGTGGGGATGGATAGGAGGTTGGCTTCTGATGAGCGGAGGCAGGGGGAAGGGGCGTGGTGGTGCACAGGTCTGTGAGGTAGGGGGGGGGGCTGATTGTTGAGGGCTTTGTGAGTAATGAGGAGGACTTTGAAGTTGATTCTTTGACGGACGGGGAGCCAGTGGAGGTTCTGGAGGACGGGAGTGATGTGGTCTCGGGAGCGGGTGTGGGTGAGGAG